CCCCCCCCAATCATCGGTGAACGAAACTGTGGCAGCTACAACCACTGTACGACGAGTACGCGGTTCTTACAGCTGTGATGGATGATGATGATGATGATAAATGGCCTTCGATTATGCAAAACGTGGAATCTGCCCTAGGACAAGTCAGTTGATAATATGGCTCTCGCGTCAGCTGACAGTGATGATGATGATGATGATAAATGGCCTTCGATTATGCAAAACGTGGAATCTGCCCTAGGACAAGTCAGTTGATAATATGGACATCTCTCGCGTCCAAATTCGTGCAAAACCTCATGAATATGAACGCGTCCCATGGCTACTGCTCTCTTAATGCTACGGCGTCTTCAGTAAACGGTATAACTCCGTCAGTCCCAGTAGTTAGGTTTGCAAATAGCGGAAGAATGATACCAACCGTGTTTCAAGACGTGGTATTCTGGTCTGGGCTCGTACAGGCCAATCGGACAACTCAACTTACCATATTCTTGACAACTTCGCTACTTGCGAACGCTGTGAAAGTTGTGCACGGCTGAGCAGTTTTTCAGCTCTCAACCGGTGGTGTTTTCACCGTCCGTTCACAACACTCAAGAAGATATCCTACACCTACTTCGGATCGATCGCAAACTCGTCCGGTCGCTTCGCGCGTCTTCTGTTTGGACCGCTGGTCTTCTCAAGGGGAATCAAACCATATTGTGGCTCGCGGGTTTCGCGTGAGTACTTTAGTCGACTGCAACGGGACAGCACGTCATGATGAGTACTTTAGTTAACTGTTCAGTCGCACTTGAAAATCTCGACTACGAACCATATTGCTGCACGCTTCAACTGCGACGTCTCGCTTGAAGTTCACACCATGGTTCGTCTAGTAAACTGGAAACCCCTTAGTGAATAAGGCAGTCCTATTGAACTGTACGAAAAATGCGCGCAGGTCCGTAAGATAGTCTTCCACAGACCTTGACACCGGTCGCTGTACATGTAGTGACGTGTGTGCCAAACGCATATGTGTACGCACTTCCTTACGAAACCTGCATTCGTGGATTGGACACTTGGGGAACGGAGCCAAATACTCTTGTTTGGAAGAGACGGTTTTATAACATATTGGCCCGAAACCTTCCCAACACTTCCGTGGACTCGTAGTTTTTTGACAATCATTTATCAGACAGGTATCCATAGTATTTTTATGTTGCTGTTACTTTCGAGTTCGCACCTTCTACCTGTGATTGCTCCATTCATCGAAGTTCCTATTCACTGGAGCAGCTATTGATCACAGCTCTGGAGCACGCAAGAAGCCATATCTCTCCCTCTTTTTGCGAGCATAATTTATCCATATGTTTCCCCTCATTCGAGTTCTTGCTTTACAGACTTCCTAATCATGCTTAATTTGAAGCGGCGACATAGCAGAATGTCATTTCTTTGATACAGAAATGGTTTGGTTTTCCTCAGTGCTTCGTTTTCTGTCCCTTCAATTCAGGTGGGAATACGGACAACCGAGTTATCAGCCATCTTCTTTTCCACGTTTGAAAATGTACGAGGAACGGTGATAGCTCATCAGTACCCTCCAAATTATGTTTCTCCGGTACGTTAACGTTTTTTGTTTTTATGCATTTCCGCTTAATAATCTATTTACCATCTGTGCGAACACTATGGCTCCATGCATTCTAAGCATTTCATCTGTGGAGGAGGAAGCAGTACTTTAACTCTCAATTTATCTGGCGATAGCCAGTCGGATGATCACCCGACCAACGCGTACGCTGTCCGCCAGAGAAATGAGCCTAGAACGTAGGTACCAGGTGCTTCGTCTATCCTCTGGTGACAGAGACTGTCTTGTATGCATATGCCACGTGGAAATTATGCAAAGCCACCAAGCAGAAGCATCACTGCTAGATTAGCTATCCGTAGATATTCGCTTCTTTCCGGACATTTTAGTGACATGTATTGGGGGATCTCTAAGGCAAGCGACGCATCCTCCAATAATAGACTAAGTGGTACCGGGAACACTTGTACCGCCTTTACCCCGAAATTGAATATTGCAAATAACAATATTGATGAAGTGAGGTGAAGTACCATCACAAAGAGACAGAGACTCACCGTGTTGTGACGGTTTGTGTGCCTTCGTAACCCACCAAGTGGTGTTGGTGAGAAATTCATAGTCTTTCATACTAGGTTGGTCAACGGTTAGACGGATGACGGACACAGTCTCCCGACCCTCCAGGTTGGGGGATGAAACATGTGTGGTGACTTGTATAGAAATGGTAGTGCAATTGCATTTCCCGCCAAACACCATTAACTTACGGTCAGTCTTTGAGCCAAAAGCTTTTACTGGCGACTCTAATCATCCTCCCGTCTATTTTAGGTTGCCCTGGTAGTATCTGAGCTCACGTAAAGCTATTATCCTTGCAAATAAAAATACTGTCGTACCAGTTTGGCCGTCGCGTGTTATCACCAGCCGGCTCGGCTTATTTGCTGCATATGAGTCTTTGGCACTGACGCTATGAGTGCTTATTTACAACGGGCTAAAAGCTCTAATACCGTTGTGTTTGGCGGTGACATGAACTATTAGGTAGGTAGACTAGGCGCTTCTGAGTCTCAGTTGGGTGGCCGTCTTGGATTGGATACGAGACGCACTCCAGATGTTTGCTTATCACATACTTGCCCTATGCAGTACCAATTTCCGGAAATCTCGGGCGAATCAGTCCCGAATCCACATCGCCTTCAATTACAAATGACGAGGGCCGATCACTGTCTATCTCTCCTTCTGGGATAGCAACGTCGACTTTGACCATGCACTTGTGCGCTGCTCTTTTTCATTGCGCTTTTCGGGTCTACACAAAACTCGCACACCTTGCTCAGCCATCGAGAATCTTGTGGACACAGAAATCAAACGAAAGTTTCCGAAACGGCTGCTGGAACGTGTGTTGGATGATCGCTTGTTGGATATCAACGGCCGCTAGGAACAAATATCCACGGTGCAACTCAGAGTCGAAACTTCCGTTTGTGGTTCAACCCAGCCGACCTCATCCAAAGATTGGATCTCCGATAGAAGAGTAGCCTTTCCGGATGTCGGGCGACATATTCCCCCGGACCTCAGCCACAACTCAACCCAACGCACCGTCCGACGACAGATAAAACTAAGTGTCCATGCAGACCATCAAGGTTGGTGGATCCGAAATGCCGAAGAAATGGAAGGTGCAAAAACGCTGGGAACGTCCGCGGGCTGTTGCACTTGATTCGTTTGACTGGTTCTCGGAGGCCTCTTACCATCGAAGCTATCAGGAACCAGAATGGCTCTGTCATCCAGCAAAGAGGAACGTTTGGACCGCTGAACACAATGCTTCGAACAACTATTCAATCGGCCACCTGCTACCTCCAATCCAGATTTCTGGCCTTTAACATGGAGTGAACCTCAGCCTCAGAATTGTCCAAGTATATATCTCCATTCATGCTTCATTTTACTGCTGGTTCTGACGACCTTCCACATGCTCTGTTCAAGGATGGCAGTGGCTTTCCCAGCCAGTGCTTTTCTAGCCCATTTGGATCTATCTGGGAGAAAGAAGCAGTCCCAGACAACTGGGGTGAATCGATAATAGTCCCCATTTTCAGAAGAACATGCATTGAATGCAGTAACCGCAGAGGTCCTAGTTTGCCTCCCTTTATAACAAGGCTTTTGGTGTCACTGTTTCTTCACCATCTTACGGCGGATCGCGAATCATTGACCCGTGAGCATCAAGCTGCGTCGACCACACTACGGCCACACCTACGGACGACCCAGAATCTTGGTATTTGTTTGACCTCAAGGGTGCGTTCGATTCTGTCGACCGATCAGTGCTGTTAACTACACTTGTTCAACAGGATATGCCCCAGAAGTTTGTAAACACAATCCGATCCCTATATTCACATACTTCTGGGAGGGTGAGAGTGTATGATGAGCTCTCCAAAAGCTTCCCCACAAAAAACGGTGTCAGACAAGGATGTCCATTCTCTCCATTTTTGTTCAACTTCGTCCCTGATGAAATAATGAGGCGAACCCTTTAAGCTCTTCAAAACCCCGGTGTTCAAATCGTTGCTGGTGAGAACCTTGTCAATCTGGAGTACGCAGACTACATCGTTTTCATCTTCGAAGATGGAGGCAAGATCCGTTAAATAAACGGAACACCATCATGCCATCTTTTACCACGCGCCTTGCTTCAAAACGTACACTTTCTGAACATATCCATTGCAATCCAAGGAGAACCACAGAAGTTTGTGAAGATTTATACTTACATCGGTAGTCATATTAGCTCTGGTGTGTATCTGATGAAGTTGGTGCCCAAATCACGTCTGCTAATTTGCTAATTTGTGTCGTTTGTGGCGTGAAAAAGAAATACCAGTGGGTCTTAAGGGTGGCGCGTGCCTGGCTAAAGTAATCACTGTACTGTAGTGTGGTTGTTAGGCATATCCTCCGTGGTCATCTGATTTGAAGCGTCTCTAGGTTTTTAACCACCGATGCTTCAGAAACCTTATTGGATTCGGATGCATCAACGAAATGGTAACGAGTTCAGTAGAAAACGTATTTGGTTGTGCAGCAAACCAGTCAGTCGCGCAGATCGTCCAGCATCATCAATTGCGGTGGCTCGGACGTTTGGTACGCATGCCGAAACACTGTCGACCGAGATGAGTGTTGTTCCCTGTGCTTCCTTCAGAAGGGCGGAAACCACGAAGTGGACAACGTATGACTTGGCGGAAGGGTGTGAAGGAGATTACGAAGAGTGTGTTGATGGGTGTGGATGGCGCAGTACGCCTTCCAGGATGGGGTCTCCGTGACCCCTCCTGCGCTTGGCTGGAGAAACGGCAAGAAATGGTGGCTGATCGATGTCAGTGGCATTAGTGCCGTCAGTATTTTTCGGGTTACCTGAATGAGTAATTGGATCTATAGGCACCTCAGAATGCTTGCGAAAGGCTAGCACAGGGTCCCCTCCCTCAACCTTTTTTCTTTCATTCTGAGTCTTTAAATATAATCAGACAAACTGTGGTCGTAAGACAGTGAGGTATCAGGGTCACCAATGATATTACTGTCCGATGCTGCTGCTGCTGCTGCTGAATGGTTAAACTGAGCCAGTTTTTTGGTCCTTTGGTTTCCTTTTGGTTCGCTTGACAACTATGCACCGAAGGGGTTGCGTGGTTGAGCGGTTTTGATTTACAGTTAAAACTGTAATAACAACTGCATCCATTGTTCACACTCTTCCTCCATTAAAAGCTTTGATTGCAACTCCCGTGATACTGTTTTTTTTGCTACCGGCGTCTGATCCTCCAGCTGATGCGTGTGGGCTACCTACAGTCTATGCTTCAGTGTTTGCCTGTCTGATAGATACGGATTCAGTACAGTGGCACGTAAAACTAGCTTTTTCACTTAGAGTGCAGTGGACTAAGAAAATCGGTCACTGCGTGGATGCCACAACAGAAGGTCCCCGTGATCAGCAGGTACTCTCATCAGTTAATGTACGTGAAATGCCACGAAAGAGTTAGGATGTATTTTCACTCCAGACAGTGCTGCAAATTACAAAGTATCGGTCCTGTTTAGCTCAATAGTTGGGCACTTTTCACCAACTCTGACTTCTTAAACCACTCGACTAAAACATAACCACTCCTTAAAGCGCCACCACAGAAAACTGTTTTTCCCAGAGCTGCTTGGTTTAGTCTTTTTGATAAAAATACCCTCCGATTCCGTCCAATTTTCTGAAGCACTGTGGCTGGTACGGTAACCCCTATCAGTCATTAGTGCTATGCATATAATATTAGTTGAATGGTCTCGGTGGGGTCTTCACCGTCAGAATCGTTAGTTCCGACCTAGTGATAAAGGGACTTCGTCAACTTCAGTATAACGAATAGTGTGACAAGGCATATCAGATGAATAAGCTATCATCAACGTAGATAGTGGTGGGCACATTCAAGCTGTGGCAATCAAACGTGATGCAGGGCTAACGCCCTTCCTTCGGGCGGTATGACAGTCAGACACATACAAGCGTTTCTTGACACTTTCGCGCGCGGGTGTATAACATTCATATATCCAAGTGGACCACACAAAATAACGTGAGTTTTCATCGACCTTTCAGATTTTCTCACGCTATCAGGTGTCCTTTGCTTCTTTGACGAGTACGATGGATGGGGTGAATGGGCCGAGAACCTCAACACATGCTGGCGAAGATGCTTCGTAGCTTATCCATACACTAACACCAAAATACTGAGGAAGATGTCAGTTCGTTGGGCAAATCCTTAGAGAAAGCCAATAAAATCCGTGAACGAGCCTAAGAAGGCGATCCTTGCAGAACTCTGGTAATTGGATATCATTGTACAAGAAACTGTTCCATTTTCCGGCGTATGCTTCTCTGCGCCCCGTAAAAGAACTATAGTTTATTTTTCACTCGGGTTTTATCTTGTTTCGTTTCATAATGGGAGATCCGTCTCCTGTCTTATTTGATAAATCTCACTGCTGGTTCGAATATATACCACATAACAAGTCAGATACGTTTTACTATCAGCCTCGGTTTTCAGGATCTGATTAACGAGAATTCAATTCCGGACCCTACAGCTCAAATGGTCTCCCACCAAACTAGCAAATTCATTCAAAATCATATGGCGTCCAGCTGATGCTTGATTAACTGCCCAGATTCTGTTCATTCTGTCTTGCATTTTGCAAGAGAAATTGGGAGAACTAGGCTATTGGGAATGCACAAAACGGAGCCCAACTATTCCGTCACTAACCGGCCCTGAGTACTTTTGATTAATCTGATGGATTAGGTGCTGTACTTCGTTTTAGTTTACTTTCTAGGTTATTTCGCCAAGTTACTTCACCTTGTTTGATAGTTTCCTGCACCCCATGGACAACAGCTACACAAACAGTTTCAGGATCGCAACGTTGCCATTCTTAATGCGACGAAAAGTTACTTTCACTTTCCAAGAGTTGTATTACAGCAGCCTCGAGCAGATGCGCAGCGTATTCTGATTTTTCATCATGGATGCTTTTCACTCACTTTTCACTACTGAATTGCACTAACTTTTAGGTTCTCTGTCCTTATGTGTGACTACATTTCCCCGTTCAGTTCAGTTCAGTATGTCAGTTATGTAACATGTACCAAAGTTACAAATGTTCCAATTTTCACACCTTCAGTTACCGGAAATGGGAAATATAGCCAAGCATTGGAGGCGATGGCATAATCAACTGGTTCGTATTGTATTTTGCTCTGAGGTAGCGTAAAATTTGGCAGCTGCGCATCGAAAGCCATAGCTTTGATGAGAAGCGTCACTGACCTAGTAACTGAGCCACGTATCCTAGCGCCGTTGTTTGTTGATAAGCTGAGTCCCGTGGCCCCAATCCAGGGAGACGGCAGCTGTGAATCCGACTGAGCCGATGGGTTAGTGCTTTCATATTTCATTGCCAAGTCATGGAGTGTTCGCCGCTCGGTCGCATCCACTCAACACGGCTGGGCAAAAGGTGTTCTGCGAGGCAGACGGTCTTCTAGAATGTTAATTACGTGTAGCAACTAACGTAGACCACAAAGGATGAGTAGCTTATCCCCTAAAACCAACCTGTTCGCTTCAGAATCTTTAAGCCAATTATCTCACCAGATCCGGCCAATGCTACGATTTTAGCTCAATGTCCTAATTGGCCTACGGACCAGAAGGTCCGTAGTTTGAACCCGACCTCTGCCTCTCGACTTTCCCTGTCTGGTTTTGGGCAGCCTCCCAGCCCTCGTGCTTCCTTTGGGTAGCTTGGCAGCTAGGCACCAAAAGGGTGTTACAGCTGAAGGATTACCATTTATTATTACGTTTCTAGCTAGAATCATTGGCAATATCGCGAGGATAAATACGATGAACCTTCAAGGCCTACTACCATTCTATTGACCTAATGTTTGTTCATTATCCGCAATGGATCAATTTACGCTGGCCGGACAGCGAGGAAACTTTGCTGGTCAAACTGTATGTAGCAGATTGGGTTGCTTGAGGACTTTAAACTGTTCTTCCTCGTTTTAGGCGCAGTTTCGAGAAATCAGTAATGCTGTACTCCCGCGTGCTGAACTGGCTTTCCGCCTTATAACAGTGGAGGCTTTTCAACACTATGTGATAGGTTGTCCGCAGCGTATCGAGGGGGACCAGTATCAGCGTAATACGTTACAGTTCAACATATGTCTGGTTCTTAAGCCCAAACCATGTAGCAATGTGGATGACGTTACTCGTTGGCGGTTCTGGACTTCGGAGAGTGCTGGTGGTCTGCGTTTGCCTATCCAAGCGGCGTATGAGGCACTTGCTTTGAAAATAAATCGCTATTTTTACGCCGTCGAACAAGAATGTGCATTCCTCTCCGGTCGAATGGAACGGAATTGTGGAGAAGATGTCGAGCTTCCTTGTTTAGACTCGATTTTCCAGCAGCTGCATTCAGATGGCACGTGTGTTTTGGACATTGAAAATTGTGGATCTCTTTACCTGAGGGTGAGTGCACGTTTTAAAATCTTAATTAAATTATCAGTATTAGCACCGTTACTCCTCGAAGACAAAAAGCAATCTCTCGTCATCCTTGTTTTTTTACTTGGAAAAACGCCTTTAGCATGGCGTACTTTTCGCTCACACCATCCGCAGTTTTTGAGTCCCCAGTAAACTGTGTGTGCTTTTTACTACCATAGTTTGTAAGCAGAAATAGTAAACTGTGTGTGCTTTTTACTACCATAATTTCCGTCGTCTATAGTTTTCCGTTGCTCCATACAATCTGTGGACGGAACAGTCCCTGGCATAGCTTAAAAGAAAATGATATAATATCATTGGACTTATAGGTTATTCCGCATGTTCACATGGCACATTTTTACGTATTTTTCTTTCGAAAAAATTCGGACATGTGGTCGCTGAAATACGTCTCTGCTGCTTTAATCAGCACTGCATCAGCTTTTCGAGCGCTTTTCAGGCTTTGTAAGCAGAAACTAGTGAATGGAAGTACAGTTGGCTGAGTATGTCAGACTGTATGAGCAATCAGTCCTATTGGTTTTGTGAGCTTTGTGGAAAGGCGCTTTGTTCTGATGAAAGAGAACCTCTTTCCACGACTTCCCCGTTTTTTGTCAGTGCATATTTTAGCTAGTACAGCAAGTTACTGCATTGTCTTGTATTGACAGTTCAATCCTTTAGAAGATAGTCGTTAAAACATCTTTCTGATCCGAAAACACTTGAACCGTAGTCTTTCCTGTTGACTTTTGGGTGTTGAATCTCTCTGACCTAAAAAACCCTAATGTATTGACTGTTGTTTAGTCTCAAGACCAAAGTAGTTTAACCGTGTTTTGTCAACAGTGAGTAATGGTCCCAAGAAGCATCGCTAAAAATGAATTGAAGGTGTTCAGTCGATTTTTCTTCTAGGTGTTCAAGCATTTGTAAACCCACTTGTCTGACAGCTTTTGCATACCGAGCTATTCATGTATTATGAACCCAACACATCTCCTTAATACCTCAGATTCCTCTGTCACTATTTTTCGCTTACTTTGGACGATCTGCCAGAATCGCATCACGGATTGGGTCAATCACCTCCGAACTTGACAGTCTAATGTCACCCTGATTGTGCTGCATCCTCTGTCTCAAAATATTCTCACAGAAAGCGCACCGCTTTTTGACATTCGTGTTATGATGCACACTTGTCACTCATGTCATACATTTTGTCGACTTGTTCTTCAGAATTATGGAAATGATAACTACTCGGATTTGCACACAGGAATATTCCTCACATTTTGTCCGCCTAGTTAACTATGCGACTCAAGACAATGTGAAAATGGAGTGTCAAACACTTTCCGATTTAGCATCTTGGATGATAACTCGGTGATCTAGTGAGCAGTGTGTTACATCCAGACAATGTATCGTGATATCTCGATTATCATAGCGACTGAAACACATTCAATTCAACACACATTTTATTCAACACATTCAATTGAAGCGGAAAATCACAAACGAGGATTCAGCTGAATCCAGCTGAGTATCCTGTGACCCTCACCTTATTTCACATGTATTGCGTAAACGCACCAAAACGAAGAATAATTCACACGATGATTGGAATTCCCATCTGAGAAGTTGTCACTCGAGAAGCAGATTACGTGCTTAAAGGAGTGGCGCTGTATCGGTTAAGTGCTGATGACCAGCCGCCCGGTTACGTGTCATTCTATCCCGTGTTACTAGTGCGGAGATCCCGGGTTCGGAACCTTGGAGTTTCGTGAAACGCACCCTGCTGGATGAAACATCTGTGCAGTGCTTCTCGGCGTTCCGGCTCGGATGACGAAGTCTCAACTGAAATTTCCTAGATCCCATCGGGCTACTATTAAACCAGAACGGTTAAGGTAAAACACATAGACGGAATGTTATGCGCCAAGACTCCAATGAGAGGCCATTCCTCTGTGGCGTAACCAACAGCGTTTCCATCAGACACGATTAAACGTGCTACCGACTATAGTCTAAATACCATTTTCTTTTAACATGGGGGTAGCTGCATATGTTGGATGGACACCATCGGCTGAATAACATACCGACAATCAGTAAGATCAGATTACAAAAATATGGAGTTTTTCAAGCCAGAACCTTTTTGGCTACTCTGAAGACTTTCTCCGTCGATTATGATGATGGACACACTTCAGGAAAAAATGTGTGAATTTTGTACAATTCAGGATAGCGTTCACACAGTTCATTCCGCGACCGAAAGTCTTTTTTAACTTTTCCCACATGGATCTTAGTGGTATTGTGTACACGTCACTTATTTGATAAGGTTTTTTGAACCTCCATACTAATGCGGCAAAGTACAATTTCTTGTGGAGATCTATCATATATACCAAACAAACCGACACTGGCAACGGGAAGCATGGTTTTCAAACGGGCGTATTTTAATAATAGCGAAAGTCTGTTAGCAATAAATGGGCTTGACTGGGCATTGTCCAATGTAGTAAGCGAAGTCGTATTTGAATGGTCTACCGGATGCTCATGCGATGACAGCCATCTGGATTGTCTGCCAATGATGTCACGAATTAGCGTTCCGTACGTAGATTGGCTAAGATTTAGTTCATATGCTTTCTCCCGAGCGAACGTTCCTTTTTTCCAATGTTGTTTGCTTTTTAAAGGTGAGCCCGAGTTTGCTCACCCAAAAATACTTCAGAATGATTTCTAAAAATTAACTGTCAGAGAATCCAAGTGAATAGACGATGGTAGGTCTTATGTAAAGTGTTCATGATGTTGAAGGTTCCAACATCCAATAACAACAAGCTCAAACTGAATCATAGTCGGACATAGGCTCCTGATTAATGTTTTCATAGATGTGAAGCTCTTAAGTAGTATTTGAATCTAGGGGACCTCCGCAGTTTGCGCTCAAAGGCTAGCATGCAACGCTAACGTTGTTTGAGTGGCATTTAATGCGAGGGCTGAGCGGTCTCATGGCCTGATTACCGCGCATTGGTTTGTGCTACTTACGTTCCGTGAGTAGTTTGTGGTGAATAATTGTTGCTCAACAGAGCCTGTGTGGCCGACGCATCCTCCGAATGTTTTCACACAATATGTCTCGTTCGTTCCACTGATGAATTTGCGTTTTTTTGCATCAGGTCTCCAATCGATGCTTTCTAATTCCATTTGATTGAGTCCTTTTTCCTACCAGTAGTGTGCTATGCCAAGGGCTACTTTCCCCCATAAACACAGGTATAACCAAAGTAAGCTTATTCTAGCCCCAATGATTAGGCTTGGGATCACCCTTGTAATTTGAAGATTGAACCAGGGCGTGTTCGAATACGTAACATCTTCAGCACCATATGTGGTATGCTCCTCCCAATGATGCGCAAAGAGGATGGGAATACGAAAAACACTCATTTCCAAACTAATTTGGTTTTAATGGGAGGTCCAGCTGAATCTCCCTCTTCATGATGTGTCTAGAGTTTTCAGAAACCTTCTGAGTAGTTCGCTATGTCAAAAATGGAGTTGCAAAGGAGACAACGAAAAGTCTCTACCTGTGCAGAGCATATTTTAGCGTCAGCTTGGTGTTATTTTTCTTATTCTTGACTGGAAGCATCGAAAGAAATAGTTGTGTCAATGGCACTCTTCCATTTACCCTCTGTCAATACTGCCTGCTGTTTATGGTATTCTAGCGTCTGGCTTATTTTTAATTACCTTCTGCTTCTTAACGCTTCTGTGAAGTATCAAGTAGTCCAGAGAAGAGCGTTAAAAGACCGAATATCAAGCGAATTCGTTTTCATCACCTCTTTGGCCAACCGGCATGTTCAGTCGGGACGGTTGTCCTCATAGATTTGCTACTGAAAGGGAGGAAAAGCTCACGGAAGAAATATCAACCAGGAAACAAACACCATGCTTTCGCCTGGCTTTCAATTATTCTCAAATTATTTATTTATTTTCAACTAGCTGCTGTTTGGCCAAAGTTATATCAGGTACTTGTAACACCACTGAAGTCTTATTTCGAGGTCATTTGTCGTTCAACAACGAGAGCAGAAGTTGCCGACATCCGGTGATTTCCTCTGTGTTACCGCGAAACGATTTATACTGGGAAGTGAGCTAGTCGTCTGCTCGAACATGTTCATGAACACCGCGATCCTTCTCTAGATGGAACTTGAGTGAAACGGCTGGCCACCAGAATCCTACCTCACTTAGTTCACTCAGGCCCTGGATGAACATCAAGCGTTCTCACCGTTTCGCCACCTCTCAGATCGCCGTTCTACACCTGTCATATACCGCTCATTATCGGCAACCGACGTTACTTCCATCCAGCTATGCAAACTTGGTCTGTGTGCGCAAACGTTTGACTCACGTTGGATCGCCCCAAATCGGGCAAGTGCCCTTGACTAGCCCCAGTAAATTTCTGTCATCTGATTATCGTGTATATTTTCTGTCTAACTATAGTGCCATATGTCTTATTATTTTATCCGCTTGACTTGTCCCATTTGCTTTGTACTTATCCATCTGTAGAAGCGCTGAAAACTATTTCAATTGTCATCCAAAGCGAGTCACGTATTTGTAATTTACTTCTTGCAACTAACGTTCATGTTGCCCCTTCTTTAATTCACCTCATAAATCTGTTACATTAGCTGAGTCCGGAACAGTCCGATTCCGTAAGCAACCGTTTACTACTGGAGCCTGAGGAGTTGACCCCATTGAGTACATCAAATTCTGTCGCACTACACATGTATGAGAACGAGGCAGAGCTCATCAGGCGGCGATCTTCTGCTGCTTGGGTCGCCTCACAAACGTCCCCCCAACCGGAATGGGAAGTTGCCGACGAAAATGTATTTGTCCTGGTCGCGCCCCCGACTCCGAGGGAACCTGGGCAATTGGGACCGATAAAGCTCAGGTGGGAGCCAATTGACTTTGTCAGTCGTCGGATTCTGCCATATCTGGATGGTTGTCACTGTCTACCAGAACTTGCACAACTGGCCAAGGTTGATGTGACGATCGCTCGTCTCTGTCTGATTCACCTAGTCCGTGCAGGTGTAGTCCGATCGCTTCCAGCGCCAACTTTTCTCTTGAATTCACCGCCCTTATCGTCTACTTGTACCCATGCGATAACCATGCCTGGATGGCTGGGACTGCCGAGGCTAACAAGTCTGCTAACAGATCATGAGCTGGCGTCTGCCTGTCTCGAGGCTGTGGTAAGTCCATTCGTTTACGCTTTGCTGTTTTTTGTATGATATGTTGCGAGATTTTATACGGAGCTGCATACTTAACATGTGTTTTTGTCAATTTGGAATGTGTCACTTCGTTGTTGCTGGGTCTCCGCTTCGACCTGGTACGCATTATCCCTTTCCCTCAAGTTCCATTTAGTTATTTCAGGCCTTACGATGACGATGAAGGAATTTACAAAAACTCGATGTTCAGAAACGCTTGCTGCTCGGCGATTTCTACCATGCCCGTCGGACAATTTGCTTGACTTTTTAGCGCCTTGATAGGCAGTCTGGAAGGGCTTGTGAATTCGCAATCATGTTCGTTCATCCAGGAAATCCACCGGGATCGAAGTAATTTGGCATGTCACTACCTCCTCAAAGTGACACCCAAGTGAAAAGCAATACGGATATTCAGAATGTTTCTTCAAGGCCTACTCAGCTTTCTGTACAGCTTGAACTCCTGAAAACTTTCCAGTTAATTCCTCAGGGTCACTACGGGTTACTACTGGTGTGACAAAAGCCGCAACCACACACGACATACTAATATGAATTCGAGTTGTGCACCAGTCCATGCTAAGTTATGTAAGGTCACCCCCCGTAGGTGCTGGTTTTTGCACAACCTTGTACTTTGATAGGAATCAGTAGGTATTTTTTCTACCATTGATCGACCATTGGTAGACAGCATTGTAATCGTTGTGAGACTGCACTCGTCCAGTCCATTTGCTAGAGAGACGTGATGATCAACCATGACCGAGGCCATTCGCATACCTTTTTATGGTTACTCTGGACGGTTTGAATTACTTAATGTCTGGTGATCTTCCTTTATATCGTGTTACTGTATGAAGTATCAATATCGGCAGACGACCCATCATCCATTTGTGTGAAAGGCTATTTCCGAGGCTCTAATTCATAACCTTAAGGTAATCAGGACATCTGCCGAATCAGAAGTGGCTCCGATGAATCTGTCGTTTGATCTCGCCGGTATTGATGGTCTTTCAGCATACCTATCATATCGTATCCAAATCGGGTCAATTTCGCCATTAGTTATACCCGCTCTGTATGTCTTCCCATCTCTTCCTAGTTGTGCCTGATGGAAATATTTACTGGTACTGTTCTCTGTTTACTTCAGCACTGTCATCCACCGAGCTCTACTGACAACAAAGACGTCCGTTGTTCTGTCGTTGATGTGTTTCGTGTATATGCAATGTTGTGCGGTTCTCCGAATTTCAGCCTCCCCCATTTAGTCTCAGCGAATCCACACCTACTCTTTGTGGATGCAACTAGTGTGCGAGAACGACTTTCTTCATTTGCTCCCATGGACTTCGAGAAATCTGCCGAACGTCCCCAACTAAGCTTGCTGCGCTTGGTTCAGTTCGGAGAAGTCAATGGTCTAATACACCGCCTGCAATGCTATCCAATCAGTGACCAGGTTACTGGATCCAAATCTGATTCTGATGCAGTTAACTCCTCACTGAACGACACACATCAGGTGGATGCCTCAGCTTTTCGGACCCCTAAACAACCGTCGCACCTGGTCCTATCACCGATACAGTCCAGTTCCAGTAAACGAGTGGGTTTATCATGGACAACCACGGATGAGCAACTGTGGGTCAAAGCCCGATCCTCCATAATGGATGGATTGCATAGCACTGGAGCGATCGAATGCTTGCTGCATTCTGAACCTTCGTCAAATGTCATGGCAGCAACGGTACATCTCACCAGTAAGTTGCTTTGTGGACTTCACCCAGACACGTCAACCGAACAACCACTCACCATCCCCGATCCAGTTCCTGGGCCAAACAGGCAACCCAGGACAAATTCAGTCAACTTGCCTATACCAAGCGATCAGCGCCTAATCTCCACTCCGCTGTCCAAAACAGAACAAAACCTTCGTCGCTTGCCTCATCACGGTCGCCATGACTCCATGCGATCAGTTGAAGAGACGATCCGCCGAAAATCTGAACTGAGCACTCGTAATTCAAATTCTCCTAACGAGTTTATTGCCTCTGTCCCAGACCTCTATTTACTGTGGAGATGAATTATTTCTTTTTGGTCGTTCGAAATGTACTTCCCATTTTTATATCGAAAATCACAATCAACTGGGCTTTTCGCTAATTTTCGCGGTATTGATTTCGAGTCATCCGAGCGCGATTGTATTCCGTTCCTGAAACTCCGTAATAGCACACCAGCTCGTGCAGAGTAGATGCTCTACTTTGACCTACTGGTACAAAGTAAATTGTGTGAAACAATGTTTTACTTTGAGCTATCAGTTAGGCAGCCTATACGTGAATCAGAGGCTGTGCAAGAAACCAGAATAGATCTCGAAGGGTTCTCTAGTTTCTCGAACACCTGCTTTTATTGGTGTGTAATTTAGATAGATGAAACAGTTTTGAAGTTTACTGTGCACCAGTTGGGCTGGTGAGTGCTTTCGTGCATTGACCAGACACCAGATATAATGATAATCGTTCAGCTGCAACACCCTTTCGGTGTCAAGCTATCACGCTAACTAAAAGAAGCACGAGGGCTGAGCTAATACCAGGCCTCCAAATTCTAGAAGGAGTCAGTCGAGATGCGCAGGTTTGGTTCGCACCACGGACCTTGCCGGCTACACCTTAACCAAGGAACTATCTCGAGCTGTGAGAACAGGCCAACTGAATTCATATAATGTTTCTGTTGACCGAAGGAGAAGCGCTATCGATGCCAGCATTATCTCTTTTTTAAGGCACCTGCTTTTAAAGCTGCGTGGACGTTTTTTAGCAAACCGGTTGAAACTGAAGTACATTCCATCCATCGTCGAGTGAGGATTCGAATTTTTTGTGCTTTGGCAGCCTAATAAGTAACTTTGAACTCGAAAGAAGGAACTCCCCATCCACGGACAATTCCCACATTTTCACCTAAACTCTCCGTAGAACTTATACTTCCTGATCCGTCACGTCAGGTTGGTGGAACCGAAAAAAACATTACGACGACAATAATGGAGTACAGTGTTGACAAGAAAACTCAGAACTCATGGTTGGTTGGGTCGAATGGTCATAATCTTGAAGTATTTCGACAAGCCTGTTCTTTATTGAACCTCATTGGCGTACTTCACTACGGTGGTCCACTGGCATAGTGATTTTACTTAAAGGTATCATTTGTCATTCCGGGCTGAAATTTGAAGCCTTCGAAAAGGGCATTATGAAATTTTCGGTAATTTGGACCGTTTATCCCCCCAAGTATACGACTTTTTAAAATGCAGAAAACAGAACACTACTTCATCTGATAGTGCCTGTTTTACTATGGTGATGTTTGGACCCTAATGTTTTGTCTATTCGGACTAGTTTCACACAGCGTGGTGTATAGGCTGTGTGGTCGATCAGCAATTTCTCCGCTTTCGGATTGTGTCCTGCCGAAGGAGTTATGGCACTTTGCTAACCTGCCTGCTATGCTTTATTAAGGAATTTATTTTCAACATTAGGCCGTAGATGGCCATTCACGTTTGAAGGAAGGTGACACAACGAACATTAAAGGGCACTAGAGTCACGTTGAAATTTATCGCATACACTTCATGCAAAAATATTGAATTATCGAGAAAACCGTGAATTTCGGTACCGAGCAGCGTACAGTGTTTGATTTATTGTCCCGCTGTATTACCAAACAGGGATCTCCTTCAGCGGATGATCATCCCACTAGAGTTTCATTGGTAGCTCTGTTTGATCATCGCTATTTTCACCTAATCTATGGCTGTTACAGTGGATAAACTGCTATTTTGAATTTCAAAATCCAACTTGCTGATATAGTTGCCAGTTCACGGATGTAAAAAAATAGCTCTAGCATTCCTGATCCGAATGGAAATGTGGTCTTCATCCAGACTATCGGGACTTAGGTAGAAAAATTTGTCTACTACGTCAGTCGGCTCATTCGCAAGCGTGAGATTCGGGTTTGATCCCACCCAGGTTTGCAGCAACACTTTACGATTTGCAGATGTGAGGCGCATGTTAATCGGTGAGGCAAGATAATCTAGGTTGCGCTGCCCGCATTACGATTGCGTCAAATCCAAGAAGGGCTATGTCGTCCGCGTACTCGATATATGTGAGCGAAACGTTTTGACTCCGCAGGTAATAGAGCCTGGGAGTGAGTCTTCCGTGATGATGACGAAACTGAAGAGGAACACCAAACAAGGATGACATTGCCCGTTAAAAAAAATAATCGTCCAGCTGTAGCACCCTTTCGGTGCCTAGCTGCCATGCCACACGAAGGCTGGGATACTGCCAGGTTGCCCAAGCCTAGACAGAGGAAGTCGAGTGGTAGAGGTCGGGTTCGGACCACGGACCTTCCGGTCAGTAAATTCGCGCTCTTACCACTTGGTCTCTCTCGCCCCCGTTACCACTAGATGTTTTAAACCCAAGGACGACCTCACTGTGGACCTTTACGTCCGTTAGATTTAGCAAGCGGCGCTTTAAGAAGACACTAGAATTGATGAGGACATCTTCGCTTGACGACCAACAGAGTCAAAGTTAGCTTTCAAACCAAGAAAGATTGCCACTGTTGGTTGCTGCTTCCGGCGTCTCTTACAGAATTTGTTTGAGTGAATATGTGGTCGGTGGTACTTCCTGTGGGACAGAATTCTCATGGGTCCGCCTCTTTGTGTGGCCACAGCTACCAGTGTAACGGTGATACTACTGATCGGGAGGCACGCGAGTAGTATGTGTTGTTCGTAGAATTTCGCTTTGCGTCGACTGAAAAAGGGAATTCTGGATGCGGCCAGAAGAGGCCCTCAGAAGATGGACTGGGCCGCCGCGAAGGAAGTCCTTGCAACGGAGTTCGACACGCCGGCTGACCGCCAGGAGGCTATGAGGCGGTTCAAGACGGCCAGGATGGCACCCGGATCGGTCGCGACACCAGTTGCTGTCGGATCAGTTCGTCGAAGGTGCGCAGCCCGCGCTCGGTGCCCAGTTGCGGTTGGCACGAGCAACTGGCCAGTTGAATGTGGAGGAGCTGGTGCGTCTGGCCCGGGAGCTGCCCCAGGAACCACTGGCCACGTTGCAGTCGCAGGAGAACAGGGATGCTGCATCAGTGGAGGAACTGCAGACCAGGGTGGACCAACTCACCGAACAGCTGGCGGCCGTGAAGACGGAATCGCGGAGGCACGCTCGATCCAGCCGGTGCTACATGTGTAGCAGGCCTGGCCACTGGAAGAATCAGTGTCCCCATAACCGATGGCAAGGGCCGTTTGTAGTCACCGACCGCCGGGGCAACGTCTATACCATTCAAGATGGTCGGGGATCGAAAGTAGTGAATGGGACGCAGCTTAGCAAGTGGCATGATACACCTGAAGAGCGGCCGAACAGACCCGCTACCGAAGCCGACCTGACGGAGGGAAATGAAAGTCGATGGCATGCGAACGAGCTTTAAGGGGTACAGGTGTGTAACGGTGATACTACTGATCGGGAGGCACGCGAGTAGTATGTGTTGTTCGTAGAATTTCGCTTTGCGTCGACTGTAAAAGGGAATTCTGTTGCGGAATTCGTGGGGCCACTTTGTAACATTTGCTTGGATTTGACCGACGAATGAGTGGAGGCAACTAATCTCCAAGACAACTCGTTCGGGAGAAGATCTGTGTCCAGTTTTTGAAACTAAGATGCAGATTAGAGTTTTGCTTCCCTGTTCAATGGTCTGTAACCGGTCAGTTGGCATTTCCGAATAAATAACTCCGCAGCGAAGGCCTTCTTCCTTTCACCAGGTCAGTGGCATGAGAGTTTTCGCACAGTGTTTGGGAAGGTAGGTTGGTCGCTGCTGTCATTCTGTTCATATAGCACCAACAGAACTATCCTTCGTTCACTTTTACCTCTAATTCTCTATATCGTGAATCCGTGACCACTATTTTGTGGTTTTTACCCGGATATCATTGTCTTGCGTGGAAGTGAACTGCGTTCGAGTCTCCTGTAGCCGACAGCCCCCATCTTGACGCCGTTCATTCTTGACGTTTCTCCAGTGAAGTTGTAAAGAGATATTTTTGAGACGTTACGTAATATTTTAAAAATGTTGGCGAACTGCTTTGCGTTAGTGGCTAGTAAACTGCGCGCTTTGTAAGTGAGGATATCACGGGTTCACATGATCGTATTTGTTCGACGAAATGTTTATGTCGAATTGCACCGTGGCAGCTGAGTGCTCATCAGTAGTCCGTCAGTTTGTTACACCACCGGCATCTTCGAAACAGCTCAAAACGTCAAGAAGTAGTAAATAAGCCAAGAAGGGTGCTGTTCCGTGTGCAACAGTTCACCGCATGAATCTGAGCCGTCGTCTATGCTTCCTGTATACATCAAGATGGAGCACTTGCTGAATGAAGCACACTCCGACTTGAAAGAAAAACTCTGAGGTGCTTGCGAAGAATCTGATTACCACGGGGCGGTTTAGTCGTTTGGGTTGGATTCTCGGTTACGAGTGTTTCAGGAGTTCCCGTTGAGCGAAATGCTGTATCCCGGAGATATTCGCATATTGGGACAGGCTCCTCGACGGAATGTTGTAATGGTATGGCACAACCGCGATCTATCCAGTTAAAGTGCATCAGATTTTCGGAATTGATGATTAGCAGAAAAAGTCATGACCCGATTCCAAGCTGTGACAACGTGAATAATCACGTGTTCTTTTGTTGGCTGACACTGAGTCTTCACCTGTTCCCCTCAATTCTTTTTTTTTCAAAGTATTTGCTCCTAAATGTTAGTCCTCTTCTGAACCCCTGTTCCAGTCGTTACAGGGTCTTACTGGAGCGGTTTACGGTGTGGCTGAACATTGCAGTCATGTCTGTTCATCTGCAATCACTTAGCACCGTACTGCAGTGATTCCGGCACAACTCTAACAGTCTAGCTTAATTGCCAAACCACAGTCTATATAGACATTAGTGAAGGACCAACGGCTGTTAGTTTGACATTGGTTGAAATTGGGTGTTGCAATGATGCAATGATGATGAGATGCACCAATGTCAGAAGGGTCAATGGTAACAGACGGACGAAGTTCAACCAGCTCCCGTAATACAAGCAATTGGAATATAAAGCGGGTGGGAATCAACTTGTACTTCTTTCTACGACAAGACTACGAAGACAGTAGGCTGCTTCCTCCGGTCCAC